TTTTTTTTACTTACCAATTTTTTACACGGAGTTCGACGAAGTGTTTTTGTTGGGATATCAGTAGTTTTTTATAACATATTTTTATGTACTGACATGTAATATGAAATTTTTTATGTTTTTATTAATTTATTTTATTATAATGTTTGTTTATTTAATATATATTTTATATGTTTTTTTTAAAAATTATATTCAATTTTTTTTTCATTATTATATACATTTTTACCCCCTCGAGGCCATCGTTCAAAATGTATTGCATTGTCATTACATCGTAGCCATTTATTTTGATGTGAACTTATGCTTGTATAATGGGCTTCATTCATAGATAGATTATGATGACAGATGACAGATTTTAAACCATACGATTTACCATCAACTTTAATTATTGTAATGGTAATGCATTAATGGTTAGGTTTGATATTTTGGTACTGACATTATTCCAAAGTTGTATTTGAAAGTACAAATATTCATTAGTATTTACTATATTTGTTATCTGCGTATAATCTGTAATAGTATTACAGGCACTGCAATTAACGCCTTCTATTAACACTTCTCTAAATAAATAATCTAACGTTGTATTAAGAGTTACCGTTTCATTTTCATTAGGTACGTTAAGCTGAATAATATAGTTTTTAGTTATTTGTATTCTCTTATTATGGCACGCAGAACAAACTAATTCTATCTGTAATTTATGAGATAACGCATTTTTTAGTGGATCTTAAATGTTTATAAGAGCACTAATAAATTCAGCATACACATTGTATTTGTGATTTTTTTCTAAATTATTTCTCCTTTTTCTTAATTTCTGTTTATATGTTTTAGAAATAGCAAATAACAAATTATAATATAATTTTAATTATGTTATAAATAGTACGGCCTACTACAATTACAACAAATAAAACGTGGTTTTTCTATTATATACTGGCGCGGTGGCCAGGGGCGTATTTAGACTTACTTCTAGAGGGGGGCGACTCAAATTTTTCCTTTAATTCAGGCTCAAAATTTACAAGTAAAATTTTTGGTAATATTTATACCAGGTGAATCCTTAATATTTGTGGTTTTTTTTTTTTTTTTTTAATCTAATGCCAGATCCACTTTGAATAGTCTTTTGTGCAATTCTTTTTTAACACCTCTCCGTGTTTTGAAAGTTTCGCTTGTGTTTTATCTAATTTTTCACTAAGTATGGACTGGGTCTTCAATCAAAATAATATAGGTATATAGGTATATTATTTATCGTTATGGGACATATAAACGTTATAAGCAATTGAGCGTTTAACGCTATAAATAATTTAAACGTTATTCAATTTAAGCGTTTAAACGTTAAAAAAATTTAAACGTTTAAAAAATTTTCCGTTTACCATTATTGACAATTAAAATGCTATGAAAAATTGAACGTTTTGCGTTATTTAAATTGGTGTAAAATTTGAAAAGTTTTCAAATGTAGTAATACTATAAAATAAATCATAATTTTTGTTTCTTAGTAAAATATCCATTACTCTATTAAATCTGTCTTGGTCTAAAAATTCTCGGGGAAGGCGATTGCCCCCATCGCTCCCCTCAAATACGCCACTGGCGGCGGCGAATAAACACATCTACACAGTAGTGTTCCCATAGGGTATACTACGTATACGCCGTATACTCTCAAGCTTTTTCTAAAATATCATGGTTATACTACGTATACTCTCAAACAAACTATACAAAAAGGAAAAATACGTATTTTTTTTTAAAACTTAAAAGTATAGTATGTTTTTACTAATCAGTTTCACGACGCTCAATAACGATAGTCATGGGGAGTTGACCAATACTCGTACGACGACAAATAATCGTTATCGGTGGTATTTCCCGTAATCGTTGTCGACGTCTTCAGTCTACGACGATAATAATCAAAAATAACACCATATTACTCAGTATGAATTATTATAGTATATTCAGTGGCGCAAATAGGAAAAATGTTTAGGGGAGGCTCAAGCCCCAACACATTTTTTTTTAAATTATAATTTATAGGTACATAGTTTTAAGAATGGTATCTGTATTTATTGAATTTTAAAATATGTATTATACATAGTACATTTATGTAAATATATATATAATAATAGGTATATAACATTAAATATCATCAAATAGATATTTAATGTAATTGTATCCGTCTCTCGGTTTTATCAAAAATATTTAATATGTCTTCATTATTGATAGGAATGTCTTTTTCTATATTCATAATACTTAAATTGCTGAACCTATCTTGATTCATACAAGTACGCAACCATGTTTTTATACGCCGCATAGTAGAAAATGATCTCTCACAGATCGCTGTACTTACGGGAAGAGTAACAGCTACTTGAAACATCTTACAAAAATTTGGAAATACTTTACCATCATATAATATCAAATGTTGTTTTATTTCCTCTAAACTAGAGTTTTCACCCAGAATGTTTTTTAAAACAGACATTTCAGACATCAGTGACTGATTACAAATTCCAAATAAATCCTAAACAAATATTAAACATTAGTTAAATGCTTGAAAAATAATAATGTATTTTACATGTACCTTGTAATGATCAATTAAAAATGAAGAACTTTCAAATTTCAATTTTAGTAAATTATCTACTGATGAGGCTACTTGAAGGCTTTCTTCAGAAAATCTTGTTTTTAAAATATTTATCATTGTATCTAATACATTATAATAAGCTTTTTTTTTCCAATATTTTTTTTTTGTTTCTACAATATCTGCAGTATGATCATCACTAGCACTAGTTGTTGACAAACAAACAAAATCTTTGAGTTGAGATGGCTCTTTTCGTAATCTTTTCTTTGATACAGCTATGACCAAATAAATAAATAATTATAAATTACAAATTCAGTATTTTTATATTTTTTCTAACATTGCAAAGGAATTTCAAGAGAAATGTCATGTTTAGTGCTAAATTCAAGCATTTCATTCCAAAGTGTATTATAATGTTGTTCAGAATCACGATGTTCTTGTAAAGTTGTAATTACTCCAGTTATTAAAGATTTAGAATTACCCAGGGTTGCTGATTTTGATTGTAGATGATTTGATAGTATATGAATAATTTGTAAGACTTCCTTTAATATGAATAAATATATTACAAAATCAACAGACTTAATTGTTGAAATAATACCTAAAACAAAACAATTTAAATTCAATATTTTTCACTGAATAATAAAATAAAATATAGTTGCCATTAAATTATATGAATCTACATAAATCATACCAATTGCTTCAGCGACATCTTTATTTTTTTGAGCATCAATTTCCTCTTTTAAAGACTGAATTAATACACCATAATTTTGTATGACTGAGCTGCAACTTTTAAAACGACAGGCCCATCTTGTTTCACTTAACTGAACTAATGATTTTTTTTTCAACCCAAGTAGATTTTGAATTTCATTGAATTTTTTATTTTTTGAAGGATATGAGAAATGTACGTATATCGCTTCTAGTCCATTAAATAATTTTCTAAGATACTAATTAAACAAAATACGATTTTAATTATTATAAATTATTAATTGGTACTAAGTAATAAAATATTATTCAAAGAAATAATAAATAATTGGATTACCTTCAAATATTTGCATGTGTCCACAATCACTAAATTTAATTTGTGTGCCATACAATGAATGTATATAGCATATGGATAAATTTGCTTAAGTTTAGTTTGGACACCTCCTTTCTGACCAGACATTACATTTGCTCCATCAAAAGACTGGCCAACAATTGGAATATCAGATAAATTACAAAAACGTAAAAAGTCGATAATAAATGAATATAATGCATCAGCATTTTGTCTATATGATACATCAACAAATCCTAAAAAACGTTCTTTCACCTCTAAATTGTTTGTATAACGGATACAGATGGACATTTGCTCTTCTTTATGAGATCTGTATTCAAACACATTGCTATTTATTATTTTGAACTGTTACAAAATAACTAAGCATCATTCTTAAAAATATTTATTTTTACTTACCTGGATTCATCACATGAAATGGAAAACATGCCACACTTTTTAACTTCAGAAACAATATTATCTCTCACATATGAAGTACAAATATTTATTAAATCATTTTGAATGGCCCAGCTAGTATGGTTAGTTGAGTTGAAAATATATTTTTTCTCAAACTCAATATGATGTTTTGAAAACAACATGCACAGCTCTTTAAAATTACCTTAAATAAGAAATTAAAATATTATACTTAATTTTTAAAGGAACACAAATCATTAAAATCACAAAGAATATTATTTATTTATCCTTACCTTTATTTAAAGCATCTTCATTTTCACGATGACCCCTAAATGGAAGTCCCTGCCGCCCAAGAAATATAACAATGTCAATTAAACATTTAATATACTGCCGATTTTTGTCAATGTGCTCCTTGTTGGCTGTGGATAATTTGAAGATGATACTACCTTGTTTTAAAGAATTTTTATATTCTAACCATCTTGACATACAATTAATGTGATTAATTGTTGAAGCGTGCAAACTTAGTTTTGATTTTTTGGTCTTTGAATCTCTTGATCCCCAAAGCTATAGACAATAAGATAAAATATTGTGTTAAATATATAGAAATTATTATAATAAAATTATGCCTATAATTTTACATAGTAGGTACATAATTAAGTTTTCATTTTATTTTAGATTCTGGACAAAGTGAAGAATGTATTGATTTTACTATGATGAGTTTTTTTTTTTTTTTTTGTGCCTGTGTACACTATAACTATTCAAAATAATTCTTCAATTTTGAACCCCATGATGTGTTTTCGGTAGCAAGTCTGATATCGGAGGTACCTTGAAGAGGTGAAAAGTGAAAATTCCCAAAAACATTCAAATACGGCGAGAAAAACAAAAAAAAAGTTATTTTTTATGTTTTAAATACATAGGTACTTCAACTTTAGACTAATTAGAATCTTAATAAGAATAGTTGTGAAACTTACTTTTTTCCAGTTCTTAAATCCTATTACAGTAAATGTATTTTCCGTTTGATGAGCAGTTCCAAAAATACGGCATGGAAAACAAAACACGCTATCTTTTCTAATACTATATTCAAGCCAATTAAACTCACTAAAGTAAGAAGGTGTAAATCCTCGATTTTGACTTCCAAATTTTGTCTTAGGATACTCCTTTTTAAACATTTTTGAAAATCTTATTTATAATATTAATATATATTTCAATTAAAAATCTACTTACCTTTAATATTGGCTGACGCGGTCCTGAATTTAAATTACCCAAATCAAGTTCATTATCAATATCATTTAACTCATTTTCTTCTGCAATTATACTTTCAGTATTTACTGCAGACGAAGGCGTAGGCGTATGTTCCGGCACATTTAGTTGATCATCATCAGAGCTTTTTTTTTTTATTAAAAATACTAAACATTTTATTTTTTTAACGAATTTAAATTTATATACGATTATAATTAATATAAGTAATTCGTTTGAAACAACAATTATTTGTTTAAATTATTGTAATTAATTTGTTTATTAAATTTTAAACGTGCCTTTGTGAAATACTGAAAAGTGAAATGGTTAGATTGAAATGTGAAATGGTCAATTTAACTGTCTGTGTGCCGACTGTGCCGGTAATCACTAATAAGTATGAACATGATACACGAACAAACCAGTATAATATTCGTTTGGAGCTATTTAAAAATGTTTTTGGTTTTCCCAATCATTGGCCTACGTGACTAATTTATCAAACATCACAGTCACTATCGTTGTACCGTTCATATTTTGTTTAATAATAAGTAATTTAGTACTAACTATATAATATTATTTAGACATTATTATACAATACATTAAAACTTCTGTAGTTCTGTCTATTAGTATTATTGTTTATTGTAATCCCGATTGTAATATTATTTTATTTTATAAAAGCAATTTTCTTATTAGTGTTAAGAAAAAATGTTTAGTAAAAAAGTAAAATTTTTTTAAAAAAACCGGTAAAAACGACTTATTAAGAACAATAACATTTAATATATATTATATTATTATTTTTTGAGGGGGCTTTGAGTGATTTTGGGGGGCTAAGCACCCCCAAGCCCCCCCCC